TTTGTGTCCCTTTTCTTGAACGGTTTGCCATGTCGCCACCGTATTTTAGCCCCATACTCTACATTGAGACACATACCCCGTGGTACCACATGTTTCTTGCTATCTGTACCTGCATGTCAACGTGTGCTTTTTTCCCTGTTGAAACTATCTTGGCAACAATGTCACACATGTAAAATGTTAGCTACCAGTTACAGTTGTATGTGTCATGTCATACAACACCGAAGACACACAGCACTCTTTTTGTTATGTCAACTCATAAAAAAAGCTAAGTGACTAAACTTTGGATAAAGTGAATAGCAACATCGCGGTTAGGGGCGTAATCACACAATAGAACGTTGATAAACAATTAGACACACAGTTGCTAGCAGTTGCTACAGAAATACTGGCACACACTGCGACCGAAAAATCACGATTAGTCGTCCTTGAAGAAACCATATGGCCGACAGTGGTTGTCTTTTTCAAGTTCAGCCACCGAAACGACGGGAGCGCGCGAACTATTATAAATAGAGCACACTGTCGACGCCTGTCTGTCCCTCGGCCTATAATTCGCATTTTCCCCGCAAGGCCGTATTTTGTGCAGGGCGCCAAGTTTGTTTGGGGCAACCATGGCCTTGCTCTCTATTGTATCGCTAGGAAGTCTCTGTTTAAGTAAAAGCTTTCTTTTTCTCGGTACAGTGTACAGATGCATAGATTTCACGATGTATTTCCGAAAGAGTTCAAGGATGCTTAACGCTAGTGGCGAGGCTTTCTGTCCAGGCGCCACCTGCGCTCACAAGTGCACGGAGATCATGAATGACTGAGACCAAGGCCACGTAAACTCCATCAATCTTTGACAAATTACTGTCGACGACCCGAATCTTTGACGAGAACACTTGGCAGACGAGAAGAAATTCCTAGGGGGTGGTGCACACGATTTTCTTTGAAGCACCGTGAAAAAGTCAAGTTTGAAGGCACCTAAGGGGTTTACGGGTATGACTAAGCGGAGTTTTATGGTTTCCGGAGGGACTCGAGGCGACTTTGAACTTGGATTTCAGCGACTCTAGCCCATTAACCTACATTCGCGCTTCAGCGGCTTTTGAATTTAGACAAGTTAATTTAAGACCGTAATAGATTTTGATTTCCCGCCCACAAACCGTTACGAATGGGTGATACTGTGTGTGTCTCTCCCTCACTCTGTGTGTGTGCGTGCGTACGTGTGTGTGTGTGTGTGTGTGTGTGTGTGTGCATGCGTGCGTGCGTGCGTGTGTGTGTGTGTGTGTGTGTGTGCGTGCGCTTGCGTGTATGTATATGTGCGTTCTTTATCTGACATATATATATCTGTTCAAATAACATATGAATATAGATTTCCTTCAGTTTCGTCGTAATCTACCACCTTTAAATCTGCCAGCTTCATCCTCAGACGATTGCGGTGGAATTTATTGTGTCCAGACGCCTGCACTTCCCAGGTCGCCCCCTGCCACCCCCGTGACGCCGGCATCCCTTAGCCGCTGCCCCGTCCTGGCCCGAGTAAGTATCTGTCGCCATCGATTGCCGAGACCCTGTGGCACCCACCGCTCTCCGAATTTGCGAAGATTCCTTAGACGTAGGAGACCTCTGTTCGTCGACCGACTTCGACCTTGCGATGCACACCCCAACCCTTGTCGTTGGCCATGGCAAAGTGTGTATATCTCTAGCCTATATCTGTGTATCTCAAACAAAAACTTAAATTGCTAACTTACTCAGAACTCGTCAAAAGTGGCAAAAAGCCGACTCTATATATCTCTTGAAAATTTCTTTCTTTGAACATCATCTGTGTCCTTACAGATAAAACTCACATGTATATAGGGAAGCAATTCAAATTTACGAATACATCAAACCCACTCCTTGTAGCTTGTATGTTTGCTGTAAATTTCACTCACGCAGAGGTTGCCTCAAACGGTAACAGTTGGTTCTAGCCTTGGTCACAGAACTAGACTAAGTAAAGCAAGAAACTGCACGGTAACTACATGTACCTGACCGGAATGCACGATTCTTGAAATACATTATAGCTCCCGCATGGAACAAGCATACTAGTGACATTCAGTACCAGCCGTTGTCCATCAAGAACAAAGAGAACCTTACATACAGCAAGAGAATGGCTTTTCACGTTTAACGTTAGATGCCTAGGTATGACAGATGGTGTTGGTCGTCTTGCACGTTGCCTAGCAACAAACAGAGTTGTCTGATGATGATGACAACAGTCCATGTGATACCTGGTGTATGGTATGTCACGTTTTCCGTCCAGTGGGAGTGTGGGGGACGGTCTCATGCCTACACAACTCTCTTTACCTTAACCTCTATCTGCAGGATTCCGCCTGGCCCTAGCAACATGCACTTGAGCAGAGGTTTCTGATTGCACAAAGGTCGTTACCATGAACACTTTTGTCGGGATTCAGGAGGCCTTAACGATATATCAACTACTAGACCTCAAGGCTTGGTTCTTCAGAAACAATATCCTTCCCTTTTCGGTACATAGGGCGGTGTCCATCTCCGTTTCTATAGCCCTTGGGCCACCCAGTTGTCAAGCACTACGCTGCGGCGTGGGGCTACTTCACTGCTAGATAGAAACAAGATACGGTCTTCACAAAAATCTACGTATGGAGAGTATTTGCATGTGGTTTTGGTGGTTATTTGATAGAAATAAAGTTGTCTAAACGATGCATTTAGTAGAAGGGTGTTCCCTCCAAAGTGTGTTTGTATTTGTGTGTCTATGGCATAGGGAGTTTAGATAACAGACACCCAGCATATGTCTATCATCAGTACAGAGACACTGTACATGCATGTGTAACGTCAGATTTGATTCTCAGTATACACTGCCCTTGCTTTGGGACCCCTGTAAATTCCAGAGACGACCCAAAAGTCAGACTGTGCACATCCTCACTCACCCTTTTGCTTCAGAGTTCAGACCACATTGACTAGTAAAAATAGAAGCAACGCTAGCGGTATCATCAGGAAGTTTCCCGCGTCGTGGCAAACGGAAGATCGCCCCTTGCCTAATGTGATACAGACGAAGAGGCCCTTCTCTGGCCTTTTGATCCGAATGGTAATGGAGGTCAAGGCCTTTGTAACAAGGGTCGCTGCTAAGGTTGCTCTCTGAGACACCACGGGGTACGAGAATGGACAGAAGGGCGTTGGTATAAGATAAATCTTGCCTTGTTGGACTGTTCTGTACCAATGTTTGTGCCCGACCCTGACGTTCTAGGTCAGCGGAGTGTCGGGACCTCGGCGATTATTGCCGTAACGCTACAACTCACACGCCGATGCCATGTGGCCGGGGTCTGCAGCGAGAGTTCGGAATCAAAGTTGCGTGGAAATTCGTCCAATATTTAAGGTTTTGGAAGAGAAGAGCCCGAGACTAGAGTTTCTAAATCAATAACTTTAAGCTTGCTGTCTGTTTGGAAATGCCGTAATGTCATCCACGACGGTAACAAATAGATTAGGAAAGGAGCAGGCTAGGATATTGTCATGGGTGGAAACGAGTTTTGTATATTCTAAAAATAGCAGCCTTCCAGGCGTATTAATTACGGTGACGGCAATGGTGCTAATGCCATTCGCCTTGGACGTTTATTTAGTTTTGCTTGACTTTTATGGAGTTCACTTGTAATGTTTGTTTCTGTTTGCTATGGATAAATGAATTGGAATTTTCAACTTTTTGCCGTGACCCTATGTCACTAGCCTCCTCAACAGGCTTCTTGGTTGGGCTCAGTCAGAAAACATATGATAAACTGAAAAGAAGCCCACCAAGAAGCCTTTTGAGGAGCCTATAGAAGACCATGGATGATAAATGAAACGGTGCCAATGTGGAAACAGTTGGGCGGGAATGGTGGGATACCCGAGAACAAGAATGCCCCAGATTCCTCGTCAGGTATCTGTTGTGGCGAGGGTTAAACAAACAGTTCTGCGTTACGCCCAATTAGTCCAATTGGTTAATAGTGTATAACAGGGAACACGTTAGACTGGACCAAAACACTGCAGAAACATGAGTTACAAATTACGCCTTGTTTCCGCCAGACGCTAGCTGTGCAATCACGCCAGGAGATAATTTGCGGGGCTTCAAATTACGACCCTCTAAAATGTCTGGACCAGGAGTAGAAAGGACGAACCGACGGAAGTCGGAAATAAGAAAGAAGTTGAGGGGAATTTTTCCAAATGAAATTGGAACCACAGTCGAGTCTTGTAGTGTTTGGCAACGATATTTATGTGCTAAAAGTGTACATAAGTACCTCATCCCTACCTCCTCTGATAATAAGACTGGACAAGATTTCCTTACTTCCAAATTTCTTACATGTCGGTCAGTTGGAACAACAGAGAAGATGTATATATTAAGTGGCTGGACAGTGTAATTTGTCTTAAAACGGCAGTGGTTAGTTATCATTGAGACAGTGAATGAGCGATGTTTGGGTCTTGGTGACTTTCCGTGACCTACAAAGTAAACATGGACATCTAAGTCTATGTCAACAAAAATAAACAAGAAGAGTAGGAAAATTAATCAGTAACTTTCCTTCATACCTTTTTTGGGTTGTTTTCATCGTGTAGGTAAGTTGCCAATCACATATTTTATTTTTTCTGTCTAATGTTCCTGCTTCAAGTTGTTTTGTCGCATCATCCATCCATTTTTGTATGATTTTTTCGGACGATTTTCGGCGAGGGGGTGTTGGACAGAACACGGTCTACACACGAACTGATCTACAACCACCTTTTTTATCACAAACAACCGCATTTCGTAAGAAACATCCACGCCGGTCCAATAATTTCCACAATAAGCTGTCATAAACTTATCGCACGACAAATGTGACAGGAGCCGTCGGGCTCACAATTTTGGCGGGAAATTCAAACGCGATTTTGGCGCGTCGCCTGCGAGCGCAGCGAAACGTCAATATCGGCCTCGAAGAGTTGAATTAAAAGTCACCCACGTCAAGCTGTGTGAACTGCTCTTGCCAAGTGTTAAGCTATAGAAACACAGGAAAGCACGGAACACTCACCGTAAAATGACAAGCCTCTGAAAGAAAAGCCCTCAGACGTCAGACGACACTTGTACACCTCACCGGAGCCGCCAAATTTGGTCGCCTGGGGACGAGAGTCCGGTGCTCCCACCAGGATCCTGGGCTCGTGCAAGACAAATGTTAGCAATTAGAGAGACGAATGAGATTGTGGAATGTGGATAACAGGACAAGACATTCCCTCAAAAGGGAGACATAAACAAAACTGAGAAGTTTACGTCGGCGAAGGCATCTGCCAATTCTACACAAAGGACGATGTGTTCTCGGACCAGATTGTCGTTTGCTGTTTTGACTTATCGTGGCATAAACGAAGACAATTTCACAGACAAGGATGAAGCTAACTTACAAATTCGTCGAACTAGTGCAGAAGCTATCTATGATAATCTATTCACAAAAACACGCCATAGATCATAATGATGGATAGACAGCTGTCCATTATAACAGATGACCAGCACCATCTCTAATGAACAGTTTTGATGACAGTAAACAGACCACGCTATTTTGTGACTGCGGGCTAATGTTTTGAACGGCTAATGAAATTTCCCCTCATTTGTGAAAGAAATAAATCATAGAATGGGAGTCGATAAATTAGTAGAACGTCTGAGTGAGACATTTCAATTTCGTCGACGCCCCTAATTATAAACGAAATGTTGCTGAAAATTCATAAATCAAATCTAGATGATGCAACTAAGCAGCAAAGGGCAGAAATATTGACTCTAGCCTCAGACCCCTTAACCGCTGTACTGTTAATGTCATTAATAACGTCTACATCTGATGAGGCATCTGTAAATATGTCATGTGTCATGTGTGTCTTGAAGGACCACAGGAAGAATAGCTACATTTGTTGTAAGCTAAATGTGGATCCCAATAAAGTCAAGTCAAGTCAAGTGTACGTAGAAAGTCAAAAAAGGTCAGAAATATGTCAAACATCCCTGGGAAAGGCCTTCTGTTTGCTACACCACAGTAGCAGACAAGTCCAGAGGCGTTTTGAACCTCCTCAACGATTTACCCGAACTGTCAGATTTGTTGGGGAGAATTCCGAGGACTGTTTGGCACACACAAACGGTTCAACTGTCGTCAGATATTTCCCGCGGGAAAAATAACGTTCATGTGGCGAGATCTAATCTACGAGCAGATGTAAGGATTAGCATAAGTGTTTTATCTGTGGTTGCAACATTTCAATTTTTATAGTACACGTTATGGTGACTTCTAGGTGCCAAGTAGATGTAGAAGTCAGTAGTGACTACTAGCAACACGTACTAAATGTTGCAAAACACGCGTAAAACACTGCGACTAAGCTGGATCTTATATCTGCTTGAAGATTAGCGCTCTGTTCAGTGGTGCCTCTTTTCCCTGGCAACAGTACACCGCCTCCCCTATATCTCTTCAGAGCAATTTTCAACTGTGAAACAAGATACAGTATCGCATGGATACAAATTTATAAACATTGATGGCACTTAAGGTTACTTAACTGCAGATATCTATAAAGCACTTTAGCTTGTAGTGGTTATTTACGCCTTTTATGCCTTAATCGTTTTGACAAGTACACAAGCAACGCTAGATATACGGGATTCAAAGTAAGGCATTGTTTTTTGTGTCCATTTCTTCGAACCCCTATTTTCAAAACCTTAAGACGGACGTAAAGTCATATGTCACTTCTGTTTTGGGATAAACTGAGAAAACAAAGACATGGTTCTTACCCCTAATTCCCCTCCAGGCTTTTTGTACGAAAAGAATGTACCTACCCCCACTCCTGAAACTCTCACGGGATTATGGACTGTTTCTCATTCTTGCCTCCTACTGTTTCACAGTTTATGATTTCAATGCAAGCAAGTCATCAATCATGACAAAATGGCAATAATGATCTCAACTTTGACGCCTCAAAGTAGCAATTTTTCTTCTTCACTTTGCCGTTGACATAGTTTAGGAGAGGGGCTATCTTGCAAATCAATACCCACCCTCTAGAGAGATAAGAGAAATGTTTGACTCCTATCCAAACCCACAATCCGTACAAGGTTTGGACCCTCTGGCATTTTCTTGCGGTTTGGGCAGCGCTCCAACCGATCATAGCCTCAGCTATCTCTTTTTAGACAATGACTCTGTCAGTGCGTATTCGTCACCACTTCGTAAAGGGCGAGCCTGTTAGAGAGAAGGGCATGCGGGCTCGCATTGTGGCCGGTGAACTTCGCGGTTGCGGCCGCTTTAATTAAGAGAAACCCGATGCTTCCGTGACACGGACGCAACTACCTTTTGTGCCTTTCTGACGGGACGGTTGACATGTGAGTGTGTCACCTCTCCAACGTTTTGTAATCAAACCCCTCTCACGTATCCGTCCTCATGCTACATTAAGCCACGGAAAAGGTACAAAAGAGGGACAATGGCACAGAAAAAATGTCCCCCACCCTTCCTCCTTAATTAAGTCACAAGAGGATCTTCTCACGATATATGGATACAACTTAAGAACTGTACGCAGAAGTATAAACATAGTCGCAGTGCTGTTAACCAGCAGGCCGGAGATTGGAACTCCTGTCTCCTACTATTTCTGTTTGGTCTATATAACTGCTCTGTTGGCAAAGTACCAACGTGTCATGCTGCGAGTTAACCCCCGCTTGTCGACCTACCAGGTGCCGTTGTCTGTCTCCCTGCCTCCTCGGTACTTCAGCAAGGACGCCCCGAAGGAACTCCCATTCGGCCCGCTGAAAACCACGGCGTCCCTGGCGTCGAAGTGAGTCTCCGCCGAACCGGCTGTCACGGCGAGGGAAAAGAAAACAAAGGAGAAGAAGAGCAGCGATGCGCGGGTTGGTGCTTCCTCCATGGTTCTGTAAACTCCTCACATGACGGGGATAAAAGTTGGCGGGATACAACACAGCAGAGATAGACCCGCGCGCGCCTGGCACAGACTTCGGTGTAAGAACCTCAGATGCTCGCTCCGTTCGGCGGAGGCTGGTCACGTGACTCCGTGACGTCACTTTTGGACGACAGAAACCACTCCGTGACTGAAGGCGGTGCGAACGGTTCCGACTGTTGAACATTAATCATGGCGGATAAAACAGTAGCCGTTTGAAGGGGTCCTCTGATTATTCCATCGACTGGAAGGGGGCAAACGCACTCTATAGGGCAGAGAATTTTACTGTGAGCAGTCTTTGTCCAAGTCTTTGTAAGGTCTTAGAAGTACCAGACAGTGTAAGTGTGCAGCCCAAATATTTCGTGCCCGGTTGGATGTTGCTTCGCAGACTGACCTGAACGTTGAACGTTAACGGGCTCTCGTTTTCAGAGAATTCCAATTTATCGGCTTGGAGAGGAGACTAAGTCAGGATTAAACTGAAAAGGGCCTGACACATATGTCTGGGGGTACAAAGCAAGAGTTGAGGGTGATGAATTGTTCCCTTAGAACTAAATTTCTATCGCCTTTGTGTAGAGTTTATAACGTTATCAGTTTCACCTGAAATCTCAACCTAACTAAAATTTATTTTGACACGTTTGAAAGAAAGATGGGAAGAAACCAGGAAATGTTTTTGCGGACAAAGACACCCCAACGCTAGACCCATCAAAAACGGACCATTCAGACGATATGTTTCCTCCCAATATGTGCTAATAAATTACCTATATTTATCACCGAACAATGTTCCAATGCGAGACACTCCTAAACGGGGTCATGTTGTCAGACCTGGCGCCCTCACACAGTTTTATGGCTCAGCTCCATAATGTGGTCATGACCTTTCACCTCTTCAAAATTACACCGGGCGCGACCTTTTCAACGTCAATCGTCTGGTGTCGTGTCAGTCAAGGTTTGGCTTGTCTCCGATAGGCACCAGTCAACGTGATCACATTAACTCTGACAAATTAGAACGTTAAAACGTACACCATATGTCGATATGAAACGAGAGCAGACCATACATATCAAAACTCAAAGCATGCTGCTCGCCCCTCCCCCTTCTTTCCAAAAGTAGAAATATATGTCAGATATCTAATGACCACTGGCGCGGAATTGTACGGTTCACTAACCTACTTCCAGACAACGTATACGTTACGATACATATTCTGTTTTAGTGGACAACATTTACGGTGTAGAATTATTCGGAAAAACAAAGCGTTGCCGTTCTCCTAAATTTGAACTATTAAGGCGTTTTCACAACCACCCCATACAAACCCTCTTAAAAGACAGGAGTAATGCCAAGGAAGACAGTACAACTATCCCGTCAAGGTGACCCGGAGAGATAACTTGGCTCTCCTGTAGCATTCTTGCTTGCAAACGATCTGTACGTTTGTTGACAACAGTTCGAGGTTATTTCAGTTTAGGCCATTGCCACTGGCATGGTTCAGATGCAACGTTTACTCAAATTCAGCCATATTTAGCTTATAACATGAATCATTACCTCCTTGTACGGAGGTTGTGTTTTCCATGTCTTTGCTTCTTTGTGTTGTGCGTCTGAGATTATTTGAATACGGAAGAGTCACAGGAATTAAGGGAAAATGGTGTAAATGCAGACTGACAGACATGGCGAATTGAAAGTCAAACGCCCCGTTCACATCAAAACGCTCTAAGCGATTTCGATCCAGATTCCACCGAAGCCGGATTCAAGTGGCCCGATCTGAACGCTCCAAATCGCATTGAAAGCGCCTCGATCCCAAACCACCTCGGGAGGTAGTTTCGAACCGGTTTAACCGAGATCTTCGTCGTACAATCCTGTCGACGTTTGTAAGCTTATCCACATATTAGAGATTTGTCCGTCGTGTTTTTCGTCAAGGACATTTGATAGCTTAAATCCTTGTCTGGTGTTGACATATTCAGTACAACTACATTTTTCTGAGAAATTTAAGCTGAAAAGTACACGGGTATGGGAACGACATCTGCTCTCCAGACATGACGTCACCTCGCGTTGTTGCCGTTGAACCAGGACGAGGCTACAGTCGCATCCATGACAAATGTTCCAACCGCCACTTTGACAGTTAAGTCCCTGTAGTCAAAGCTGGAGAGAAGGCTTTTCAAGTTAAGTTTATTGAAATTTTACGGTTGCCTAATGTAAGACCAGCGTACTCGCGATGATGCGGTGTTCGGATTGCCTCAAGCACGTGACCTCACACAAGTGTGACGTGTGAAGGTCAAAGGTGGTTGGAAGTCGGTATCGCCCCCCGTCCAAGTTCACTAATGTGGTGAGGGGTGGTATAAACAGCTTCTCTTAATTCCCTTTATGAAATAATCTTGTTCTGTATCTTTGCTTTCCGTGAGACGTGGAATTTCACTGGAAGGGCCTGCCTGCAGTAGGTTCTAATTCCAAGATGATGACATTTTAGCAGCTCGCGAGAGTATTTCCAATCATCTAGTAGGTGGGCATGTGATTTTGCCGTTAAAAAACGGAATGTACTAGTTCAACGTACGCGCGCATGATTCATGGTGCTAGCACTCAATAATTGGTATAGACCTAACAACGTACCGACACTATAGTAGATGATACAGTTCCTTTAACAGATATACCAATTATAAGATCCGCCACGATCTATACACTATTCATGGCGACTGATGCAATATTGAGCAGATTGCACCATGAAGTATTGATTTCACATAGAGGCAGTCATTCAGCTTCACAGTTTAGACTATTGCTGATGAGTATTGGCCGTTATAGTGGCACCGTGGGGTGACTGCTCGGGGGTGTATATATGATATTGCAATACATTATTAGGATTGGCTGATCATGAGCGCTATCCAATTTTAGTTTTGGTATATGTAGTATACATCTCTAGGGGTGTTGAATTCGAAGTTAGAGGTTGGATATTTGGGCATGAAGGTTGGAACCCCCGCACGGGCATGGTGTAAAGGTGTTGCATTCGTAAAGCCGGCTGCGCCCCGTGTATGCGGGACGTGTCGGAGCTTCAGGCGTCAACCCTCTGCACAAAAATTAGACCAGCACACTTCCACGTATTGAGAAGAATATGGTTGACTAGGTTATTCAGTTTGACTGAAACGTGAGACGTAGCGAAACCGCATTGCACCACAACTAGCTAGACAAAAAATCATGGCCTGAGGATGACTGCTATACTTGAGGGTTACTAGCAACACAGATCACCAACAGCAGAAGGCGCTCGTTCAACACAAGACGTCTATCATCTCGGACATAGTCTGCTTATTTTCGTAGTCTTTCCTTCCACAGGTTCTGAGATGAAACAGGAGGTACAGTCGCAAGAGGACGAGCCTGTATTTGGAGACATTCGTGTCAGGCTGTCTCTGTGTTATTAATGGTGGCTGCAACTTGAGCGACGTTTTGTGAAGCGTAATGTTTGACAGTCTGTCGCTCAGAAATGAAAATAAAAAATCACAGTCAAGGATATAGTTCATTGATGTCAGATGCGATATGGGAACTTTCTCTTATTTTTGAAGCGCCCACCAAGCCGTACTTTGGGTTGCGCATGCTTTGCCTGTTTAAAAAAAACAGAAACTCTGCTGCAGTACCAGGGAGGGTCACTAGGGGAGCAAATCTAACTATATAGTGAAAAAAGAAAACACCGTTACAAACGCTACCAAAAACATGACCTTCTTGGTGAAGTTGTTCTTGGGAAAAATTAAAAGCTTGACACCCTCATTTCAACCAAGTAAAACCAACTAACAACTAGAAAGGCCGACATTTGCTTGAGAGCAAATGCAGCAGATGGCTTCACCACATCCCCCATACCGAAAATGGATCTATCCTACGATGGCTGCCAATAGTCTACACCCCCATGCAGCAATGGAACCTTCCAATGCCGGAAATAGCCAAAAAGCCCTATTTTACATAACTTTAAAGTGGTGTATGTCAAAATCGTGAATGACATTCTTTGGACATGTGTCCAAGGTATCCCCATACCAAATTTCAGGTCATTCGGATTTAATATTAGGGCACAGGAGCCAAAAATGTACATTTTTGGTCCGAAAATAGCAAAAAAGCCCTATTTTACATAATTTTAAAGTGGTATATGTCAAAATCGTGAATGTCATTCTTTGGACATGTGTCCAAGGTATCCCCATACCGAATTTCAGGTCATTCAGATTTAATATTAGGGCACAGGAGCCAAAAATGTACATTTTTGGTCCGAAAATAGCCAAAAAGCCTTATTTTTCCCAATTATAAAGTGGTGTATGTCAAAAGCTTGAATGACTTTTTGTAGACATATGTCCAAGGTATCCCCATACCAAATTTAAGGTCATTTGGTTTTAGTACCTGGGAACCAGATCTCAAAATGTATATTTTTTGCCTGAAAATGGCCAAAAAACCCAAATAAAACAATTTTTCAAAAAAATGAAAAAAACGCGTCAGGGTATTTGCCCACTCTACCTTCATGCCAAATTTCGTGTTATTTGGCCTGAAAATGGCAGAGATGAATCCATTTAAAGAAATGGCAGGAGGAGAAGGAGAAGGAGAAGAAACATGAGGGAACACAATATGTCTTCACCACTTTGTGGTGAAGCCATAACAACATGAGTGCTGCTGAATTAAGTGAAAAGGTTTATGTCCCTAAAATATGGCAGGGGAAAGGACATGTGTACATGCCATTTTAAAACTGGAAAATTCAAGCTTCTAAATTTTCTTATTCTCTTTGCGAAATCTGAACCAAGATGCTAACATGTGGAAGTCATGGGTGTGACGTGTGGATGCGGTCTCGCGACGGGGTCACGGTCAAAGGTCAGAGAGGTCACGACCTGATATATTGATATGTCAACTATTCCTGCTATGGTGATTTATCTATCTGAGATGTCATACACGTACCCTTCAAACTTACATGTGAACTTTCGACCTTTTTCTGTGGAATTTTGTTTTCATAGTTTTTTGTTTCTTCTCGTTGGAATACTCTTTCCTCGAAAATAAACACGAAGAAATGGACGGAATCTATCAACTAGAAACATACACGGTGTCAATCTAACGTTATAACGTTTAAACACAATTATAAGTCGTGAAATACTTTTTGGGTCAGGGGAATGTTTTCTTGAACTACCCTCGTAGCCACAGGATGACTAATTTGGTCGCCGGTGTAACAGTCCATATTCTACCCTTGCACTGAGTACACCCGGGTCTACGATGTTACAGCTATACCTCGGACTGTTACACCCGAATTAATATTTCAACCATAAGTCCCGGATGTAACAGGTTTTCCAATTTCTGACAATCGATTAGAGCATGCTGGGAGATTAACAGCCTTAGTTTTAGCCTCTGCACGCCCTGGTGTTTTCTGTATGTCGACCTACTTTCATTAAGGACTTTGAACGACGCTGGCACATGTTGGCTTCCACCGCTTCCAAAATATTATCACAAGTAATCAAAGGGTGAGCGTGCTTAAGGTCACGGTCAGGCTGCTATTACGGCAGCAGATGTCGATAACCATGTAATGTGTGAGCCGAGGCGGGCTATAATTTCCCCGTGAGCAATTCATTATCAACGACGTCGACGTCCAATAATGTCGGGGGCTAAATAGATTCTTTGCGGTTTCAGTGGATCGTTCAGTTGGTAGGATGTTTCACGCAGAGAAAATGCATTTTGTGGAGACTGTGAAAAGCTGAGATATCTTGTCTTTGAGGACTGTTGTACTTCGGGGATTATATTTGTATCTTACGAAATATACTTAAAGATCATATCAAGTTGTATTCTAGAGTCACTATGTGCGGAAATCGTACAGCTTTGAATAATTAAACATGCGTTCAAAGGGATCCGACAGGTATCGGCGGCAGGTATCGACTTCCCAGCACCTTTGACCTTCTACTGACGTCACACATCCCGAAGATCAATGCGCGTCAGGAAAGATGAATATTCCGGTCAAAAGTTTGGTGAGTCAGTCCTTTGTGTTGAACTGAAGTTAAAAACTCTACCAACACAGACGAACTGTCCTTTTAATTGCTAATTTTTCTTATTGGACACAGTTCAGTTGCATATGAAAATGATTCCCTAGAAAAACGTTGTCCAGAACTGATAAAATACCTAAAGGAAACAAGTAAAATGTTTCCAAACAGTCCCAAAATCTCATCCACCAATGTGACCATAGCAGTGATTTCACGTCGTGAAGTAGTCTGGATGGCCATGTTCTTAATTTCCCCTGACAAGGATTGAAACTTGAAACCGCAACGTCGTTAGATCGGTGAGGGAATCCTTCAGAACCTGAATGTAATTTTGTGGCGTGAAATTTATCAGTAGTCCATACTAAACGGCCATGCGGTCATGAAGCCCAATGGGGTGCTTGGTATTTTACCGATATAGCGTGAGATGGTTTGACGGTGTGCAATCTAGCGGTTGTATCAGGAGCATGGCCTTGACTTTGGGTCAAGCCCCTACCCGGCGCCCCCAGGACCCCTCCCGACAGTCTGTCTCGTAACTGTGGTCAGTAGTTACTAGTAGTTATCTGTTCACTTTATACTGATTGGAACGGTAGGTATACCGGCAAGTGAAGCTATTCCGTATCTAAGCCTAGGTATGAAACTCACCCATCTAATCCGCCGAATTTTCATCATTGGCATGCAGATGATTAAAAGATAACCACAATTGATATTAATGAAGTAGGAGCTATCATTAGAGGGAAATATGTATTCCCATTAATCATAATTACATCATTCAATCTAAGAGTCCCTGATACAAAAATGTTTATGTGTCAATGTGATGTGATTGTCTTGGCATGTATATATGACCATATGAATGATGTAAATTCAAACACCCCTGCCGGACCACACAATGTTCTTCTACTCGTTATATCAGTATGGTTTGGGATTCCGAAATTTAACAAGCCTACACCAACGTTTCTGTCCCCGACAACTGTTTGAAATGCAAGACAAGTACATCGTTTCGCAAACAAACTTGCACGTTCAGTGGTATATAAATGTGCTCGGCACTTTTTGTGTCCATACGCGCCCCTCCCCATTTTTCTGTCGAAAAAAACAATCAAATCTTCCCATTCATAACTTCTTGAACACACCAAACAGCTTTGTTATTATATCAAATACTCTAGTATACGATCTTACCCCCAAGCTATCGAAAACCATTTCAAAACGAAAGTACTTTCAAGGTAAATGACATAAACAAACCTGCCTGGCGTTCTGGATATGCAATGCCGCCTGGCGAGAATAAGCCCTACTGCAAGTAACTATCGATCACATGATGGTGATGGTTAGCATAATAAATTCATATATATTTACACTAGGTTTTGTGTTTTTCTCTCACAAGCCTTATGAGTCATTAATGTAAAATCCTAATTTAACATAAAATCAGTTGCAAATGGGTAACGCGCAGCAAACGAAAAATATACACCAACTACAATTCCGAGATCTCATACCTCCATGAAATACTAGTATGATCTTGATATGTAAATGTAAATTTCTTCTTTAATTGTGCAAATGACCTCTGCATTAACATGATATATGCATCGTGATGTATGTTAACTTTTGATTAACTTCCAGATGTCCCAAGTATGACATTCTCATCATTCACCATTACGAAATCAAGTTGCGCTGCAGTACCAAGGGAAGCCACTAGGGGGACCAAAATCTAATCATTTCCAGTTTTCGTCACACCCTACCAACACACCAAGAATAAAACCAATCCATCCGGGCGTTCTTGAGTTATCTTGTTGACCAAAGACGGACAGATAAACACAACTGAAACTAGAAAGGCCGACATTTGCTTGAGAGCAAATGCAGCAGATGGCTTCACCACATCCCCCATACCGAAAATGGATCTATCCTACGATGGCTGCCAATAGTCTACACCCCCATGCAGCAATGGAACCTTCCAATGCCGGAAATAGCCAAAAAGCCCTATTTTACATAACTTTAAAGTGGTGTATGTCAAAATCGTGAATGACATTCTTTGGACATGTGTCCAAGGTATCCCCATACCAAATTTTCAGGTCATTCGGATTTAATATTAGGGCACAGGAGCCAAAAATGTACATTTTTGGTCCGAAAATAGCAAAAAAGCCCTATTTTACACAATTTTAAAGTGGTATATGTCAAAATCGTGAATGTCATTCTTTGGACATGTGTCCAAGGTATCCCCATACCGAATTTCAGGTCATTCAGATTTAATATTAGGGCACAGGAGCCAAAAATGTACATTTTTGGTCCGAAAATAGCCAAAAAGCCTTATTTTTCCCAATTATAAAGTGGTGTATGTCAAAAGCTTGAATGAATTTTTGTAGACATATGTCCAAGGTATCCCCATACCAAATTTAAGGTCATTTGGTTTTAGTACCTGGGAACCAGATCTCAAAATGTATATTTTTTGCCTGAAAATGGCCAAAAAAACCAAATAAAACAATTTTTCAAAAAAATGAAAAAAACGCGTCAGGGTATTTGCCCACTCTACCTTCATGCCAAATTTCGTGTTATTTGGCCTGAAAATGGCAGAGATGAATCCATTTAAAGAAATGGCAGGAGGAGAAGGAGAAGGAGAAGAAACATGAGGGAACACAATATGTCTTCACCACTTTGTGGTGAAGCCATAAATATAACCTCCATGACACATTTCATGGAGGTAATGACTTGGGTAAAATAGAAATTTACTCCCATCCTCAATCATCATGTCCAAAATGGAATGGCCGGTTTGACTTACAAGGTACATGACGATTGGCCAGCACCACAATGCATATGTTCTGTCCTATTCCTTTGTCCCATTTCCAGGATTTACTGCAAAGTTTGGCCCCAGACAGCTGCCAGAGAAAACACCAAGTTCATCAGGCTGCCCTATACAAGAACCATGCTAGCAGTGGCCACAACCTCCGGATCCCTAGACTCCCTTCCATGGCTGTCCTTGCTGGCTACTTCTCATGGTGTTACCCAGTCTGTTCACAGCTCAGATTGCAGAATAAAAGCTGGGTGAGTCCAGGGGAAAGCTGACAGGGACTGCATTATGGAATGCATTATGGGATGGAAGTCATGTTTTCTGATACTAGTGATAGTGTCTGAGGTTGCCATGAAAATGTTGCCAGAAGACTTACCTTTGCAACAATTTTAGGCAAAGAAAAAAGGAGACAAGCTCTGCAACAAGATAGTTGAAACCATTCTTTCCTTTATTCAGACTACATACACAATGGTTGACACATTTCCTTCAACATCTTTCACACAGCAAGAGTTTTACTTGTAGTTGGGTCTTATTAAGGAATACCAATCTTAAAGTTACAGATGAACTGCTATCTTGGTTTTGGTATTTAAAGTGCAATTCAACTCCAGAGAAATTACAGTCACTGCAAGACAGTATGCTTTTCCCAAAAGGAAAAATGGCAATACCCCCCAATTTTGACCACTGAATATTTCCATCTATTGGTAGAACTGTATATACTTAGAAATAGTTCATCATGTTGTTTGAAGGTTTTACACTAGGATCTTGGTTGTGTGTTCTCTACAAGGGCTGGCGTATGAGCGATGCCATACGGTTGATCTTGCTGGCCGTGGACATGTCGACAAACCGGTCTCCCACGTTCACAACCATCCCTCCAATCAGGGCTGGGTCAACCTGGAGGAAGAAAATATCCACAATTTTAAGTATTCTCAATACAAGGTTTATCAAGATACCATTCATGTACTCCTCATAAAATGATCAAAATATTTAAATCTTATAACTGACCTTTGTGTTGAGTTTAAGGGTCTCTCCCTTCTTAAGGAACAGTTTCAGTGCATCTTGTAGGCTCTTCATGGTAGCTGCATCTAGAGCCTGCAAAACACAACATACATCACAAAAATGTAATGACACATATCTCTTGTCAGATATCCTCATCAAACATGTCTTTCACTGTTAAACAGAAAAAAAAAGGTCCGTGTCCCAAAAATTGCAAACTAGACAATTGTGTCAAAGATCTTCTTTTTCACAGCTTCAAATGGAGATGAAACAATATTGTAGCACAAAAGCAGACACTCACGGGGACAAAACTGTAGAGGTCTAGAAAAAAAAGCTAAAACAAAACCACTGCAAATACTGTATTTTAAGATTTTCAGTACCTTGGCCGTGGTGACCTCACAGATGACCTCCCCTCTGTGGGCACTCATGATGTCACTGAAGTTCTTAGCCACACCAGAAACCACGCCCAGTCTGTTGTTGTCTCCCAGCAAGTCTAGTGTAACACATGAACAATGGAACGTATTACACAAACAAATGAACAGACACACATTCACAGTTCTATCATGAAACATTAAAATGAAAGCGGCAATCACTGTTCTTTACTTCTGAACCTATCAGATGGCTTGTTACTACTACAGCACCTAATAGTGGTCACAGACTCTTTATTGTCCATTATTTTGCAGTGCTCAGTGGTGTTCACCTCTAATACAGAATGCATCAACCTATCACATTACTGTTCCAACTTATCACGTAAGAAGTGACACACAGATACATGTACTTACCAACCAAGTTGGTAACAATGGGAGAAGCTTTCTGTTCCTTCAGGACACCAAGGACCACAGCTGTAGGGAAGAGAAAGAGTTGGATCAAACCCACTGTGCATTGAGAACTACTGCATGTTAAACTTAAGGGTTGCTAATGTGAAAAATTATGAAGAGTGCATTGGGATATGCTTGGGAAAAATATTAGTATTGAAGTAACACCATTGAAATTAAGTTTGATGCTTTAATTCTTGAAGGTAAACTTCTGATGACAGTGATAAAATACCAGTTCAGGTACTTACATTTCTTCTCAGCCCTACTGATGATGGGGTTCTTGATTATTTCCTGTAGTTTGACGTTGCCATCAATGACACCCTGCAGATGAACCATAGACAACAGAACCATGTCAAAACCACATAGCACCATTTAACCTAAACAATTTACAGCCCTCTACACACGAAGTCACACACACAAGGCAAGAAAGTAACAAGGCAATTTTATCATAAATGATTATCTGTACATTCGGCATAACAGGTTGCTTGACACAACACACCAGCTTAACAATGGTTATAAAGCATCTATAACCTTGTATGATCATAACCTTGCAAATACATGTGTATGATAAAAGAAACTACCTGCAAAGATGGTTTTTAACACTAACCTGAAGTGCATTCAGTTCTTTCTCAACGACGTCCAGTTTCTTCTCCTTGCTGGCAGCAGAGTACAGCGCTGTGGCGTAACGACCAGCGACACCGAACACCTGGATCGGAGCCTACAGATGGTGGTAGTGTACATAATATTTAGGACAATGGTTGGGGTGTTTCCATCTCAAGAAACTAGTATAGTGCGGTTATCAACAACTCACTTCTATCCATTTAAAATATACTAATAATAGACAGGAAGGAAGGGACATGACATGAAAGTTAAACATACAACAGGTGTATAATGAAACATATCATTATGTATATCACTGTTAAACTTCTGCATTTATGGTAGATCATGTAGCCTGGATGACTTCCATATATTTTGATACCATGTCTTTCTCATTCTTTTCAGGTGAAATTGACTCCTACCTTGACCATAGCAGCTGGCCTGGCAGCTGATGTACTGAGGCCCCTCACCTGTGAGAGAACAGAAACACTGTGTTAGGTTCACTCTTAATAACTGTACTGTGGACCACATGGTTTCCAGACGTTTCACAACCAAGACATAATCCTCGCCAAGATGATGACTGACCCTAACCTTAACCCCAACTATAAACTATAACCTTAACAATAGTATAAACTTAAACTGTGTTGCATTTTGACACAGTTTGCACCTAACAGTTACATCAGTTCCGTATTATATAAACCTTTGAACATATGTCTTGCCTTTTGATCCCAAGGTAAAAGACGTACTGTCGAAAATCTAAAGAAAATTGAACGATGACCTACAAAAATCGTTCCAAATTTCTCCCTGAGCACGACAAGCCCCCCTCCCACCCCTTGAAGGTCAACGCTGTTTTACCGCCTAAAATACGCCGGCAGCCCATATTAACTCCACCTGTAGCTACCCTAGTATCTGCATAGACACAAACACCATGTCCTTGTTTGTATTAATCGGTAAAATGTTGCTAAAAACCGTTAAATTTAGTCTTACCAGGAGGGATAGAGAGGTAGACATCGCCATCATGGCCGCCCGGCTTAGGAACAGTGAAGATGGTAAATATGTCACGAGCTCTCTCATTGGTCAGACATCCAAACTAACTCTATGAACGTTTCTCTAATTGGTCAAAAGAAAAGGGTGAAAGGTTACGAGTTCCCCGGATGTGTGAATGTCAGAAGAACTAGGAAAGGACGCTGAAAATCATATTTGTATATATATATATTGACTAAACAAGAGTTATTCATAAGTGACGTGTGATTCGTAAGCTACTGAAGATGCCGAGATATGAGTTAGTTATGATCACCAAGGCCCTGGAACGGGTAAGTTTTTCTCGTTGTTTTTTTTTTTGTCCTTGTGTGGGGAGGGGGGCATAACGTGTTGGGACCAACATGTGTGTTAGAGTATAATATATCATAAACACATGTTTCTGATGTGTTTGAACAGCCAGAGACAGTGACGGTGGTGAAACGTGCTGTACAGTCGCTCCTGGAGAAGGGCGGTGTCGTGCGACAGATAGAGAACCTGGGAGAGAGGAAATTACCGTACATCATGAGGGCACACTCTGAGAACTTCACTCAGGGAAGGTAAGATTGTAGACAGTAGCAATTTCCATCGTGTACCTTAACAAATTTTAGATAAAGGTACACGGATTTAGGTACAGGTCTTGGCCTAAACACGTTTGGCCAATCATCTGTTAGTTATATACTAGTATGAACTGATGATGTAGCCATTATCCAACTGTCTTTTTAGTAGTAAATTGTTCTCTTAGTGTCACTGTGTGAAAATTAAATTACATAATTCAATTTGAAAATAAGAATATTTGCAAGTTTAATTTTTTTTATTTGCCAGTGCTAAGTTGCAAAATCTGTCATTTTTGAGATACATTTTATCAGTAAACTAAAAATACAAAATGTACTGTGAAAGCCTCCTTCTACAATGAGCCCAGACAAAAACGAATTTACAGTAAAATTACTCTTTTAATAGTTCTGTTAATACTATATTACATATTACTCTATCAGTATCACTGTCTTGTTACATGTCATCCCCACAGGTACTTTGTAGTGGAGTTTGATGGACCCACGACTCTGGTGAGCTCCATGACACAACTCCTCAACCAAGACCTGGACATCATCCGACCAAACATCATCAAGAAGGAAGTCAAACTGTTTCCAGACCCCCCCTGTCCAGGAATGGTCACAAAAGAGCCAAACTATTACTCACCTAACCCTTCAGCCTGGTTCGGCGCAGAAGACGTCAAACTTGAGAAGTTTGTCAAGAAAGACAAGCGATTGAAAGTAATGAAAGAGAAGAGGAAAGAGAGGAGAGAGTTACAGAAACAACAGGAAAAAGAAAAACGAGAAATGCAAAAAATGCAGTGATTTTGTTTACATAAACTCTGTGGAATATTCGAGTAATATCACAACACTGGATTGTGATGCTTGCATGGCAAGTGTCCCTAAATGGTCAACATTGGTTTGCATATACAGTTAAGTTCTGTTCATAGTTTTATGCTTCTTTCAATAGCAAGGATGACATTGGAGTTGTCCATTTTTGGATGTGTCAAATCTGAAGTGTTACAGTGAAGTACAGGTACATGTACAGGATCACATGAAAGAAATACAGATTTCAATTTTCATGTTTTTGAAGGAAGAAGACCTTGTCATGTGCTGTCAGTGAGGAAAAACAACTGAGGTTATTATGTTTTCCTCAAGCCTTTGTTTCTTCTCATTTGACTGTATTGAATTTAGACATGTAACAGCTTCAAGGTTGGTTTAATCTGATTTTAACCAATCAGATGGCTTCTTACAACTAACTGTCCATTGATCCATTCATACAAAGTCAAAATAAAGATTAGAGACCCTCTTTATAAAACTGCGGTATTCACCTGAATTATTGTTCATCAATTCATGATATAACTCTCAATATTTTTGCTTCAACCACTTTCATTAGTTTTCTTTTTATAGCACAAAGATTGAAATGTAATGGTGGTGTTGATAGTTTTGCATAAACACTACCTCTGTCATGTTCCTTATCCAAGAGGATGTCCCTAACTGAAGCTACATGTACATACTTATTATGAGTCAAGGGCAAAACATTAGGGCTGAATCCATAACCTTCAGATTCTATGTCTACAACCCTTACCACCTTGCTGCCTTTGTTGTATTGGACATGGTATAAGGAATTAGGTGCACGAAGTCAATCTCTACTTTTCAACTCTCCACAGCTCACCCTCCACATCTCACCATCAAAAAGCTCCTCCTGTCTCTTATCACACTAACTGCAGGGAAGGAAACATCACAGCACACAGCCAAATTTCTTCTCAATTGATTTATTTCAGTAAACATTTTTTCTCACAAAATTTCCTGTGTATGAAAAATAGATTCATCTTCTGTAAGTTGTTGGTTATGTATGTTTTGCAAGTGCGAGTATGTATGGCAAGGCATTTGTAGAACAACTGTACATAAATATATCCTTCCACCAGAAATATACCAACAGAAATATACTGACAAAGTGTAGTTATTGAATGTGAGAAATCATAATCATCTATACATAAAGAGAAGAAAACAGAACACATTCTTTCCATACAAGATTTGCAGCAATTGTGCATTTGACCCTGAGAATAATATTCTTGATTATTTCTTTACTAATTAATTCTCACCTAGCTAATAATTCCAAGTTAGATTCCATCATAACCAAGCAAAATTAGATAATCACCCCCTAAATTTGTTCACAATTAGAACAAGGAGAAATTATTAATGATGTGCAGCACTATAAAGACAGCTCCCAAATTACCAAAAGCAAGGTGAACTTCATACAGTCAAGATCAAATAACCCAGAGAAATTAATTATAGTCAAATAATGTTCATATCAATCCAACCCACATCCCTATATGTTAATTCCCAATCCATCAGACCCAACCATTGTGAAATTATTATTTACACAAAGACAAAAGTTATCACCTATTCCTATCAATAGAACACTTGCAAGAAACACTTGCGAGAGCAACATGAAATCACAATTCAACCAGTTTGGATGAAGAACTTTGCAACTTTCTCAAGGTAGAGAACTTTGGCAACAGGTTTTCTATCATTTTGGCAAAATATTGCTAATATAGCACTATTATAGTAAAGGAAAACATGTGCATAGTCAACAGTTTGGCAAACCACTGCAAATCTTGCAAGCTTCTTGCATCTAGCAAAACCCAACCAAACCATTGGTTCAAATTGATAACCAATGTTTTCAGTCGCACAAATTCAGCCAAACAATACATTTTCCTGACTTGAGAGGTAACTAACAAAAACTGGGTTCTTACCATTGTCTTCAACAATCCATATTTATACAACCAAGGACACTATATAATGTCCTTGATACAATACAGTCATGATATCTATTACTTATCATGACTGTCTATTCAGATGAACTTATCAATGAGGAGTATTCAAAGACAATGCGCAAAAGCTCATTCTACCTGATTTGCTTACAAACGCAGTGCAATATCTACTTCTTTCAGGCAATAACTAGACTGGGTTTTAACTCTCTCAATGAATGCAGCAACCAAGAACACATACGTCTTTCTTTAACAAGCTAAACAGTTACCAAATTTTAACATAGAAGATCAGAACTACAAGTAGTTTATATAGCAACAAACCTAAAGTAATTGTTATTCTGTTATAGAATATAAAATTTGGAGTGAACAAAAAGGTTTAAGTGTGTACATAGGAACAAAGATATATATAAAACAGGTGGGTATATCTTCTTTGTGAGGAATTCACAGTGAAGATAATATATAAAACTGTGCAATTGAATGTAAACAATATGTACAAATTATACTGTATGGTCTTGAAACTGAGGTATTTGTGGCTTTGGTGACATGGAACGTTTGCATTTATACATATATAATATTTGAAATAATAAATATGTGAATGTCAGATACAGATTATTCAATGGTTAAATTAGTTTAACATACAGAAGATTAGAGAAATAATAATTCTGTATTCGCATTTCTCCCAAACTGTTCGTGTACAAGGTAGACAAAACTGTTACTTTCTTTTTTTTTTTTACAAAATTTGTCTTGTCACTGAAAAAGCTTTGCTACACTGTTGGTGCTATTTGGGCCCTATTGAGAAGTAATGATTATCAATACATAGTATTTCCTCTGTCTCTATATTAGACAGTAACAATTCACATTTCTTCCTAAGAGATATAAACATATTTCACAAAGGAAGTAATTAAGACTTTTTTGAAGATATGCCAAAAGGTCTAACTAGAAAACAGGTTACCGACAATATGGGTGATTGTCCAGTGTTGTTGATTGAACATTATTGCTATTTCTATGAACAAATACAAAGAGTAAACATTGATGAGGTTGTTTGTGTACCATAAGGAGCCTGCTCCAGTTGCATAGTTCAGTCTCTAGGTGTGTTGATGGTTCAACCTTTCCTGTAATAGTAACTATGTGATGGTATATTGTTTAAAACAAAAATCACTATTTTAGGCAAATAAGTTGTTTGATTGTCAAATGCAGCAGTTAAGAATTTTGTTTGCTGTCGCTGCAATGCTAATTTGGAATGGTGTATTTGCGTGAAAATGTGAAAACAAAGTTTAACTGTAATCTTTGTTTCCCAATTGTGCATGAAGTTTAGAATGACGGAACAAATTTACCCTGTAGGAATCGATGTTGCAACAATCATTGTTAAGGTCACTTTTTTGTGCTTCTATCTTTTTCTAAACAGCAGACATTTCAACGTCCTGTTTTGACAAGTTCTCTCTCATGGCCGTCTCCTCTTCGTGGCCCTCTGACATCACACTAGTGCTGGTTCCGAAACCACTTTCCTCGCTGCCGCTACCGTCGCTGATGTTGCTTGGGCTGCTTTTGCTGCTGTAGGTCTCGCCGTCATCTGACGTGTCCATCATTGGGTGCTTCTTCGCTGCCTCCAGCAAGGTGTACTTCTGGCCTGTGGCTGCAGCACTGTTTTCTTGTTGGCTTGAGACGTTTTCTTCTCCATTCCTGCTGACCTCGCCATCGGACGCGTCACTCTCCTCGCATTCTCCTGAACATCCGCCGCAGTGCTCATCACACTCCTCCGGAGGGAAGGCGGGCACGTTGCCGTCGTCGTCGGGAGTGCAGGGCTTGGTCTGGTGCAGCATGAGCTGGCACCTGTAGACGTACGCGTGGTGGCAGTGCTGACACTGGTACGGGCGGTCGCGGCCGTGGAGGCGCTTGTGCAGCTTCAGGTGGACGTACTGTGTGAACTTGGCTGGACACAGCTGTGAGGAAACATAGAGACAGAGGTTATTGTCTACATGTACATGGTAAAATCATCAATACCAGTCTATGTTTAGATCATGAAATTCGTTTTATCACGTTTTTTAGTCGTCCATATGAACGATCTGAAAAGTTATGTCAATGAAGGTTAGACATCCAGGAAAGTGACGAAAAGGAGTGGTTGCTACTTGAAATGTCAAACAGTTTTCAAATCTATCCAGTTGCTTTAGTAGCTGAAGTTTCTTGTGTATCTGAAGAGTGGTTTTCATCTCTGAGTCCTTATTAAGAAGTCCCTTTTGTATCCAGCACAAACTCTTGTTGAAACAATAAACCAGAAACACAAGAAAACTGTCAAGGACATCTTACTAACCTTGCACTGGTAAGGCTTCTCCCCACTGTGTAGCCGCAGGTGGGTCTTTAGGTTACTGGTGCTGCTGAAACGTTTGTGGCAGATCTGACACTCGTGGGGCTTCTCACCTGTTAGAAGAGGAACACGGGTGCGTTTTAAGAAATGAGTTACGGTTTCGAATCATGGGGTCTATACATGTACATGTATTTGCACCATATCAGTTACCACTGGTATATATTTCTCGGCTAGTTCTGTTTTGATAGAAAACCACATTTGTGCATGATAAAGGAATGCCGTCCTTTCTCTCTGTCAGTCAATCTCAAAACACTATGAATCACAAAACAGGATGGTACAGTTCCTTTACAAATGTACAAATCAAAATTGGCTCCTACCTGTGTGCACCAGGTGATGTTTCTGTAGATGAGCCAGCTGGGTGAAGCCCTTGCCACAGGTCTGACACTTGAAGGGACGCTCGCCGCTGTGCACCCTCAGGTGCACCTTCAGGTTGGACAGCTGCCCGAACACCTTGTGGCACACGTTGCACTCGTAGCTGATCTTCCCGTTCTTCTTGATGAGGGGGTACGGAAGCGACTTGTACCCCTGGATCTGCCTCCTGGGCTTACTGGGGCTGGCTGTGTCACCGTTCCTGCTGTTCCCCACTGACTGGCCCATGTAGGGTGAGGTTGGCACCGACAGTTCTGCTCTCTCCCTGTTGTTGTTGCTGATATCGGAAGGCTCCGTCTTCACTTTGATCATACCGTGAGGCATGTCCCCGATTCTACCCAGAGGCGGCGTCATCACAGGGCCGGTTCCCAGCATTCTCAGGTCGGAGGGCGGCAACCGGTGACCATTTCTCAGGAGGGCATTGTCGAACGGCGGGCGAAGCAAACCAAACCTCGCATGTGCGTCGTGGTAGACAAATGGAAACGGAGGCGTGTAACCATTGAGGTAGGGGAGGTTTGGAAGCAAGGCTGGAGGTTTGGGAAGACCTGGTAGGCTGGGGAATATGTGGGCTTTTGTAGCCTCCGTTGGGCTCACAACGGTGGTGTTTGGGGTGCCATTTGCCACTGTGCCTGGGAGAAAGAAGGAACTAGGCAGGGGCTTGAGGCTATAACGTGTTTCATCTGAGTGGCCATTGGCTAGTCCATTTCTCTCCTTTCCATCTTGCCTCTCGCTTGTAACTGGTAGAGAGATGCTAGCAGCATTTGGCACAGGAACTTGTACTTGGCTTTGGGGCGACGCGGCGTGCCCATTGGTTGGGCTGACAGGCGAGGCATTGTTGGACCTGCCCTTGCTGAAGTCTATGGGAATATTGTCATTGTTATTGTTTGCTGTCTGGTCCGAAGGGTTGTTATGAGGTAGACTGGGTTCCTTCAGGAGAGCTTGCTCTGATGGGAGAAGAAAATATCAGTGATCAGTGGCTGAAGAACCTTTTTGTGCATTAAGGAGTTAGTCTTTTCTGAATCCTCTTACCAAATTTGGCTTTCTGAGCAAAAGCACTTAGACAATGTCTGCACTTTCTCGAAAATCATTTAGAAAACTTGTAAGATGTAAAACTCACTTATTCTCTGCATCATCAGTTCCCCACTTGGAGGGTAGTTGAGCCGTTCTGCAAACTCTCGACAGTACCAGACCAGCAGCTCAGTATCAGGTAGAACAGGCTGGAACATCATTAGAACATCTTCATGAGTTACATTATTGGGTTAGATGTAAGAGTAAAACACTTCTCACTTTGACTATACTCCTAATTCAAACAGGTGGGTGCACCTGCTGCTATAACAATGTATGTCCCAACATGTAAGATGATTCTTCTGGGTAAAATACAAATTCAATGCAGCCAGTTCCAATGTTGTAACGATAGAACCAATGCTTCCACCTACATCCTACCAACAAATTTACAGTATAGTATAGACCAACCTTGATAGTGAAGAAGTAGATCTTCATGTCGTGTTGGCAGGCCACCAGGTTCTGTTCCTCCCCGCTGTGCGCTGGGTTGACGTATCGCATCCAGTTGCTCTTCGTGGTGTCGTACCCGTCCACGTAGAACTGGAATTCCTCCCCGTCGTACACCTTTAACAAAAATGCAAAACATGTATCTTAACCAAGTGTATCAATAAACTGAACAAAAAGTATAATGCTTACTCCACATTCTTATATTCCTTTATCTTCTGTACAACAGAAATGAGGAGAACGTGTTGGAAAGTGATTGTACAATGTTTTCATCCTCCAGATGTTAGATCGTCCCTTGCTAGAAGTCGACCTAAAAAAGGGCTATGGGTAGCAGGCTTTTGGCAGGGTTGGTCGGGTAACGGGACATTTTTTCGTAGGTATGCTGACACTGCCATACCGAAGCCGTCTGTGTTCTCAAACCAAAGTTGTTTTCAGTTCTAACTAGGTCACCTGTCTGGTGTTTTACTTGCTCCTCCATTCCCTCATGTTTGTTATCCCTGGTAAGACCCAGTAAGTGGGGGCAGACTAACTGTTATCCTAACTAGGGGGCCTCCTGTCCATGAGGGTCTTGCCCCCATTGTAAACTCCTTGGGTGGAGACTTATGAAAGTTTGCTTAACCTAAGACTAAAGACACTTGTATTGAACCTTTGTGATACCTTACCTGCAGAAAGGAAGACACTGAAAAAAACGTCTCAATGTCTGAGGTTTTGTGCTTTCACCTGTAACTGTAGGGCAGAACTAGAAGGACACGCTAACTGTCCTTGCCTTTATAATAGTGAATACCTATCCATAGTGGGGTCCTTTAAAGATAGCCAACTGTGCTTGTAACTCTGATCATCTGCCTCCCTTACATTAGGGATTAACAGCTCAGAGATCTTGCTCTTCATTGATAAGGGACTTAATCCTTATGCAATGAGAGGTGCTCCTGAACGTTGCGTTTTAGTCTTCCCATCTTCACTTGTACTGAGAACAAGGAAAATGCTTGACTCACCCTCCAGAAGTATTTCCTGTTGGCTCCCTTTGGCACTTCATCCCTGCGGTACACCTGTCCCACCAGCGGCCCGAACCGCGTGCCTTGTGGAATGTATTCTTTGCTGCACACACCCAACACCTTTGTAGGCAAAAAAGACAACCACATTATACATATGTAATGCAGAAACTTCTCAAACACACTCTTTATTTTACTGGGGAACAAATATAAATTCGATGTTCATGTGCAATGTGCATGAAAGATAAATTGCATACTTTGCCTCGTGATATATTTTTCACGTTACTCTTTGGGCACAAATTGTAAGATCCTTTTTTTCTCTTTCCTTGATTTCTGATGAATCAGCTGAGGGAACATTTGGCAGAAGTACTAGGAAAAACTCATGCATCAGACAGAGAAAAGTCATGCATCAGACGATACCAGACAGACAAGATTATCAGCCTCATGACTGACTGCATGTCAATCATTCCCCAACAACGGCCGGAATTTGCAGCTGAACACCTTTTCTCTTGAGAACGCTTCCCCTGGTCTTTCCCTAAACAAACTGTTTATTCCCCTGTTTATCTTACAGTTGGCCCTCGGAGAGTAAAATTGCCGTCTAGAAAACAAATGTGCATTAGCCAAGACAACAGGAAAGATGATCACATGTATCATGTCTTCTCTGACCACAATCCAAACTCCTCAAGGGGAAAACAATCCGAGCAGACACCTCATTGTGGGAGGAAGGAAGGAGATTAGCAGGTAATTTCCATCAAAAGAACCGCAGCCATATCAAGTTAGCAGACCTTTCAGTCAGAATCCACCTTCTCACATGGGTCAGATGAGTATTTTAGCAGGAGTTAGGGTAAGAGGATCTGTGTCCCCGTATTTGCTGACAAGAGAGATGCATGTTCGGTAGAGAGGCTTGTCACCGCAATCATTCCGGTGGGAAAGAGTGATGTCACGAAGGCGGGGTAAACAAACTTCCTAGAAAAACGTGGGTGTAGGTAGAGTTTTGAGATCGTGGTGTGAGAATTACAGGACTTGAAAGGATAACAAGGAGAAAGAGATGGTGCCACGGGGGAAAAGACCGAGGACAGGTGTTCAGGGTTGAAACTATCAACTCGACAACCGAAGATGTTTTAATTCATGGTACAGTAACAGAGAAAGTTACACAGGACTTTGAACACCTGCCGTAAGACTTTTGTGGCTGCTCAAATTTGTTACATGGGAAATGACTGTATCTGTAACTGGTTCGTATGAGCCTTGTTTTGAGGTAAAAATTGAAGTAAATAAAAAAGCTAATAAACCGAGGATAATTTCTAATTTACAAACAGAATTTTTCACTGCGTAAATATTTCACAGCATGGTAAAACATTGAAAGCACAAGAAGCACAATTAGATGTTTACTCACTTCATTTTGCTCATTATACTTGAGGTAGAGATTTCTGGGAAGGGTTCCCTCTGCTCTGGGCTGCTGCGATCCTTCCTCCTCCCATTCCTGGTCCACCACGAGGTACGTCGAATTCTTCACAAAATCTTCCTCGTTCCACCGCAGCACATCTTCTGTCATCGTTGTCCCACGCATTGCTTTGTCTTTTCTGTAGGGAGGCAAAAAAATAAATGTGATCTCTCAACATACACAACAAACATTGTAAAAAGTTTTCACATGTCTAAAATGTTGCAGTACTGAAGAATTATGCCAGCTACCTCTGAGAAAACAATTTTTTCAACTTTTCAACAGCCTGGGTTTAAACCAACCCAATGATACAACATGATCAAGTCTACAACAGAGAGTGTGACACAGTGTCGTTCCAACTGTGCCGGCTAAGGAAGTGTATGACAGGTCTGATATAGAGAAGTCATCACACCTCTTGTAGCTGACGTCACAGTCAGTAATGACAGGTTGGGAGTCCTCTCAGTTTCATCTCATTTGCATAATACAACTATCAAAGTATCCTCGGGATTACTGCCCACGCTGTATACCGTGGGAAGAACGATGTTGTCTTATTAAAGGTAAAGGGTCGGATATTAGATAACCCTTGTTAGCAAGACTGTATGGGGAAACTCAGCACAGTTGGCTCTACTTTAAGACCTTTCTACTGTAAATCTCAAAAGAAGGCACCTGAGAATTATGCAACAGTGGCCTTTTAAAAGTATTTTTAATAATAATAGTTGTCTAATTGTGTGAGAACCTTACATTTCAGTATCTGATATAATTCCAATATCTCCCTTGAAATGCAAACTGAAGTCTCTTTCTCAAGTCTATACATGTATTAAGCTGCATCGAATCGAGTTCAAAAAGTACAACCCAGGAAATGAAAGAGGGTACGTGGTTGGTTCATCCTACACTCAACGGACAGGTGCCTCTGCTAACAATCGTCTCCGTTACATAAACAACCAGGGCAGGGGTACTTCTGCAGATCTGGCATGTCATCCCCCGTGTCCGACTGAGTGCCTGGCTCGCTGGGTTGACTGAACTTACCAGAGCTTCCGCCGGCTGGCATCTGCTTCCTCTATATCCCACTTCACTTTCCTTAAGACTTTATCATATCCTGTATCCACTCCTTATAATCACAATGACTTTGCCATTTGATACACAAAACTTCCTGGTGCATTTGCATAGTATGCAAATCATCTACTTATGTAGTTATGATTTTTATCACTTTGAACCTTTACATTTAACACATTGCTTTTGATTACATGATCCTATTTTGTCACCTTTGCTATTTTTTTTTACAGGTTTTGATGTTTAATAGGCAGATGAGAACAGAGGTTTTCCTACAGGTGTGGCAGGTATTCTCTCACGTGTGCCACAGGTGTGTTTACCTGAGAGACTGGGTCCACCATAGGGAATTTCAGCGCTTTGCATAAGGAATTATCATGGCGGAAGTAAACCTGGTATGCAGTTGTCTGTAGGCTCACTGGGGAATTTTACAAACAAGGTTTTAACTTTTTTCCAAAAGTTTCAGGAGACAAGATGCTAGACTTTCTGTTCCAATGTAGATCTTTTTTATATTTTCTACTGTAAGTGTAACTTAGGAAATGGTAAAGGCCACTCAAACTGAACAACAAGGGAGATTTTGTCGCTCAACTGCTTTTCCCAAACTTTTGTCTTGGTTTTATCATAATATGGAATGGTAATAATGTCTGTTCAAGGGGGTCCCTTTGGAAATGTTTGCTTCACTTAGCATTACTCCTTTATTCAGTTTCTCTGAAAACTATTAGTATTACCCAGTAATCATATTTAGAGCATGACCAATAAGTATGGGTCTGGTCAGTTGGCTGGGAAGTGTGTGACTCCAGAATTAAAAAAAAAACACCCAAAGGTTCTGAAAATACTGACCTTACAAAGCCATATTTACATACACCCCTACAGCTACAATCTTTTCTGGTTTATTCTGAACGAAAAAAGTTCCCATGCACATCCTCTCTTGCATTGCCTCAAGCTATGATTTAAGAGGAAGACAATTATGCAAAATCAAACTGTGATTAAGATAAGGTTTACTGCATAAATGGACAATACATTGCCAAGACTAAACAAAACTTAAACTTCTGCAATTTTTCCTCTTGTAGTCAAGAAACAAACAAAACAGTGAGTAAGAAAGAAAATTTTCCAGTAAGTACATTTCCCTGTGCCAGTTCCTATATGGCTGAAAAGATGGTGTAATCGATGCCATATGACTACAAGCCAGAGCACCAATTATACCCCAACAGTGGTCTACTGCAGCTTTATCATGATTGGAAGCAGAGATTTCCAATTAAGAACAACAACAACAGGCATCCTATATCATTTTATGGGAACAAATCTAACATCATGAGTTTAGGGACAAGACCGTTTTCCAATAACCCAAAGTAGTTCAGCACCTAGAAGAGTTTTTTAAGCCTTGCATGGAGCAAATTTGTCTTTATAAAATGTAGCTTTCCACTCAGTGTTTCCTGTACTTTGTATCACTACTTCATTGACTTCTTAGAGATTTTCAATTCATGTTCTATTAGAACCTGTCAACTTATAAAACATCAGACACTCCCTGTGGCAAAAGACAACACCTTTTTCTCTTCAAAAGTTTCATGTTTTGAATGCTACTATTATATGCATGGCTGCATTTATCAAATAAAAACTGGTTACCCCCTTCATTACAAAAGCTTTCCCTTAAATTAAAGGCCTTTGCCTGTAAAGGTACATGTAAAATACTATTATTTCAAAAAGAGAACAATAGCATCTATAATCACTGATGATATGTAAATTTTAGCTGTGAGATTTTTTGTACACTGCCAAAAATGCAAAATTTATTCATGAAAATTCCTATATTTGAGGGACATTTCCTTTCAAACTAACCACGAAATACATTTTTATTCCAAATTCTTTGTCCAAAAACACTTAGGCCTATTCCAACAACTTGACGTAACAACAAAGCTCTAATGACATCAAAGAGGTGATTGGTCCATTGACAAGCTCAGTCATGCCAATCCACCAATGATAAATCTCCTTCCTGTTTTCTGGCCAAGATTCTGACCAAAAAATCGCAAGGAATCTTTTGACATGTTTACATAAAATCATTTCGTCTGCAAATCGACCAGTTTTCTCTTCCATGACAAAAGCTTAGTATTCACACTATAACACAAAACAAAAGGGTTGAATCATTTCAATGAAAAGGATTTTTTTGTCTTGAGAAGATAACATCAAATGACTTTCTAGGTTATCTTTTGTCTGATCTTGAGTCTTGAATGGTGTGCAGACAAAACAAATATTTGGAGTTCCTGCCTGTATGTTAATTACCCCTAACTGTCTGTTTTTCACACATTAGGAGTATTACCACTTGGTTGTGAAGTCTGTTAGCATGAAAACTCTAACTGAGAGATTAGTACACAGTAGTTCATAAAAGAGATCTCTCTACCACAAAGTATGGTATTGGGAGCACTAAAAGAAAATATAAGAAACTTTGTACCAGTTTCCATAAAGCAAGGAAGTAAATCTATCCACATTGTACAAAATATATGTATGTGGGATTGCTTCACAACTTTCAGGAAATTCCAATTGTTTTGTAAGTCCTGGATTCAATAACTAGGAAAAATTCCACAAGAAATACCAGAATCCATATCTGGAATTCTACAGATGCATCAAAGAAAAGCTCACACACATCTGCCAACTCCTTCAAGATTTTTTAGAAATTGCAGTCATCTGAAATGGAAGACTTTTATGGATCTAGACGTTATCGAGCAGAAAAACATTAACTGACTATGCAGGAAGTTTCAAAACATATTTCAACACCATGGTTTGAGGGAAATGAATACAAAAGCCTCACTCACTCATTCAGCATCGCATTTCCTCTGTAAGCAGTGTTTCTACTGTGCCATGTTGTCTTCATTCACCCATCATTTGGATAGTTAACAAATTGGGAGGCTCCCCTCTCCAGGAATCAATTACACAGAAGCCAGGATATCCAGGGACCTGCACACGTGCTTGGCTACCAAAGTACTCCCTAATAGGCTGGAGTACTGCCTGCCACTCGACTTCACCTGCAACTTCCACACAAACGCTGCCAGCAGGTGGTGGCTGGGCTAGGGCACTTCAGCCGCGGGATCTACCGACCCGAAAGGGAAAATTCCGGCAATGCCCAAATCCCCCGTCCACCTCGATTGGTACTTGACAGTTCCGCACTGGTGATGTTTTTGTGGAAAGTCAGCTGTGAAGATCACCCTCTCCACAGTGCAGGGTTCTAGGGTCTGGCTCCTGTACTCTGGATGTGACTGGCTCAACCAAGGACCCAGAGCTCCCAATGGAACTTGCCTAATTTCCATTAGTAATGAATGCTAGATGTACCCACCCCCTGCAAGACTGGGCTCTGTCCCCTGCAGACTATCTAAACATGGGGACAAGGCCATCTAAGGTCAAGCCCAGCAGAACCCCTAACTCTGGTCTCCTAATAAAGACAAAGTAGCTGAAAGAGTCTTTAATTTTGAGCCTGAGAAGAAAACAATATCAACATATCTTCTCCCCCAGTGGAATGAAAGGAAGCCACTCCTTTGTAAACCACATCTGGACAAGAAATCTCTGTGGGCCTCAGGCAAAAACAATATCACTGGGAGCACAAAACAAGCACTGGAGGACACAAGAACATCTTTTCTGGCACCATATTTGTGGTAACCTTTCCTTTCATGTTCTCTGAAGAGAAAGTGAGACGCGAGAACAGGCATTCAACAGCTGGTCTTTCCCAAGTGTGGCCTGGAAGGTCACCGGAGAAGTTTAAAGCTTGTTTAGGAATTAAATGGGGTTTATCAATCATCTGACAAGGCAGTAAATGATGGCTTCCATGTTTCTTGTCAGCATATGGCTGCTGCCAAACCCCCTGTCACCACCTCCACTGATAACCTGGGACCAGCTGTTCCACATGACAACAGTGCTTCCAAAATTACCCATATTGCTTTTGTCACAACCACAAGTTCAACTGCACATCTGTTTTCCTTTCAATCTCTATATGTTTGGAAATGCCATTTAGTGTTGCAATTCCCTGTGGTGTTTGGATACAGTCTTTTGCAACCAAAAAGAAAGGGTTGACAGAAGCACATCACTTCTGACTGTTTATACATCTAATCATTGTTTAGATCATCTTATCTTGACACTTTGGCAGAAGTTACAAGTGTGGACACAATGAACTTGAAAAACCTGTGTCCTCTTTGAATCTTCACTCTTTTCTCTAGAATTTTGATTTTCAACAAAGATAAGCTTTAATTTTTAAATTGAAAACCTACCTACGAAAAAAATCTCACTAAAATGATGTACATGTAATACCACGTCCTCACCTTTGATAAAGAAGAGCCAAGTACTTGACCATCAGCTCATAATTATGGCTACAGACTTTTGCTCTAATACATTGTAACTATAAAAACAACAGGGATCCCCCTAGCTCAAGACCAGTCCATATATAGCACCCTTCATTCATGGAGTTTCTCATGAGAACATTCTATTAGTCTCCCTGCAACCAAAGGATTTGACATGGTCATTTGTTCCAATGGCAATTTTCTGCCCTGTCCCTTCCTCATTTCACAGAATGCTGTACCCAACTCCCAGTAGAGCAAGTTTTGGTTGTCAAGTATGAAATAAAGTGTTATTTGTTGTAGAGCAAATTCTAGGAAAAAGATTCAAAGGCATTCCCACATATTGCTTCAATTTGACATATGATGCAAAAGGACCTATTCACAAGGGTCTCACCTTACACTAGATACTGGGACAGGAGGCCTCTATTACAGTTCTCTAATACTGAATAGACTGAATAAATGGCCTTTTATGTAGTACCTCTTCTAGTTCTGAATCTTTTTTCTAGAAAATATGGTCATCTTTTTATGGCAACACGCCTTTCTTCTACCATGTTGCGAGTGGATTTAATGGGAAAAGCAGGAAGGCTGAAAGTAGTGACTTACAGGAGAAAGTACTGAAGGTTTGACAGCCAAGCTTGTTACTCAACAGTGCTGGTCAAGAAGGTTTGGAATCCGAAGCATTCTGGACAGTCTGGAGGTCCCAAATCCCAAGTGTTTCTCCTCAAAGAAAATAAACCAACTTCTCATGACCACCATCCCCTCTGAGGCGGGCATGGGCTATCTCTCAAACAAACAATCCGAAAGATTTTCAACATTTTTTTTTCTTCTTTGCAATACTACCTTTGCACTGTTGCATAAATATTAACTACCGTTCATGTAATAGGTCACCATGTGCTATGTAAATTACCTACGCTAGTGCAAACAGTTCTCATTTTGGTAACACAAACTCGCTGAGGTTAGCTGGGCATGCCCTGTACTGTACTGTACTGTACTATATCCGCATGCATTGCCGTTGGCCAAGAAAGTGAAGCTGTGTCCGAATCCTGCATCGTTTCCATACACTTGAGCACAGGAGCAGGCGTGTGGCCGCCTCTCGTGCCTTATGTCCGATCTGCATCACAAAGCCACTCTCAACAGCTATAATACTCGGCCTGACAAGAGAGCTACCTGCCGCCCACTTCAACTGTAACCTTTTCAGAACTCTTCAAGTAGAAGTGACCTTTGAAGCAAAAAAAAAAGCCTCAACGAACAACCATCGAGCAGAAAAAGTCCAAACCCTTATTTCTGACAAGCTTGTCGAATGAAAAGTAGATCGTCACCAAAAATTGGTTAATTAGATTAAAAAACCACTTATCAGACAAGTCAGTTTACAAACATGTCATACTTTTCTGGAAACGATGTCACTTTCTTTACCAATGTATGCCCAACAGAAGAGCATATCTTTAACCAATGCGGATTCTGGAGTCTGTAACATTTACATGTAACAGTTCATCATTTCCATCCTGGAGCAAATTTTGGAAAAACAAATTTCTGTGGACACAAGAATTCTTGACCCTTTAAACAAAGTTTGTACTAACCTAGTTTTGGGGTGGACTTTCCTCCTAAAACTCCTGCTGGCTATCACACACAGTAAACAAGAGCACTGAGAAGCAAAGAAAAAAAAGGGACCCGTGTAGAGTGAGAGGGTCTTATCACTGACCCCTATTAATAGCAGGTGTAACAAACAGTTTTGACCAATAGGAAACCAGTTTCTTTCATCTGGGCAGCCAAATGGCTTTGAATAATTTCAGCTTAAGTCCATTGTTAGCAACCATTAGATAAAGAATACCTGAAACCATCGTAGTTGTTTCGAAATCACTCCTATCGTAGTTACAAAGATTAAACATGTTTTAAATTTTTTTTTAAAAGAAACATTTTTTTCATCGTAATGTATGCATGAAGCTGGCTGTGGAGGAATTCTGCTGAAATTATCCCTCTTGTAGGAATTTAAATATCAAAGAAATTAAAAGCTATCTCTTCTAACCCTCCTTGGAACCTTCAATTTTCCTTTCCCATTGTTTGTCAAGATGTACCTTTGGGCAGAAATTACCTGTGTATTGTCATGCAGCACACCTTGATTTGCACTCCAAAGGCCTTTAACAGCCACTGCGTCAACCTCCAAACTAGTCAAAAGACCTTCCTCATTATGTTTCCCGATGGGACGTCATTGTGTACCAGTTATCAGCATGGAGGGGAGTTTATTCATCACATGGTTTCCCCTGGGTGAGTCTCCTGGGGTTGGGGCACTTTCAAATGCAAAACTGAACGACCCCCTAACCAGACCGTCCAGTTCACCTAATGGACAGAGTAGACGGAATTAACGTGAAATCACTGCTACAGGTGGATTAGAGGAAAGCAGTAATGCTGGGGTTTAGAACGGCTTAGTCTGATGAAAGCACTTATGCAGGACTAGCTTTGGGCATGCGAGGGGAGTGGCAAGGCAACCTGTTTATATGCAGGTCAACTTTAGCCAAAACATTCAAAAACTCAAAAGTACCAACAGCTATCTTCAAAAACTTTACAAATCTCTATGAAACTCATGTTAAACACAAGCAAAAGTGGAAAAGCCTGTCAGAATTTTGTACAAATTATGAAAACTACGGAACAAAATGATACCAACTGTTTAGCTACTAGAGCTCTTTTGAAAAGAACGGACAACAAATATGTGGATATACAGCACCTAGAAGTAAGCATGTTTGGAATTCCAAATTAGGTAAAACCTTCTTGAACATTGGTTTAGTCCTCAATAGTCTTATTTTCTCCAAGATGGAAAAATAGCAACTGGCTTAATGGAAAGAAGTAGAAACATGTCTCAAAAGTAAGGGAAAACCATGGTAGGTAAATCATCTCAGCTATCCACTTGGAATTAAGAAGAATGACGTCTGCTAAAGAATGCTGGTGCCTCTGGCTGGCTGTCCTTCTAGCACACCTGTGTTCACATTTACCTGTAACACTTTTCCTCACATCCTTAAAACAACAACGGCTTAACCTCCAGCATAAGATACCATTTACATACATAAATTTACCTCTCTTTCTTCCGTACGTTTGCCTACGGGTTTGGAAAAGTAAGCTGATAGTGTGTGTGGTCTCAATTTTACACTTGATGCAAATCTAAAGATGCGTCCCTAATTTGCACCCACCTTTCTTGTTGGACTTGCCGACCCGGTCAGCAAATCTGAAGGCAAAGCTGTCAATCTCTGATAGCTTTGGTGAATGGGGGAAACAGCAGAACCCGTTTCTGTCGGCGCGACGGCCCGACACACAAATTTACTCTGCTACGTCATGCGGGAGGGATTTTCNCAACTTTCTCCGCTGCCACCCGACATTCAGCCATAGACAAGGTCAACCAAACTTTTCTCCTCAGGCTGCACCTGTTACAGCAAGCTCCACATGTGCAACAAACAACACCCCAAATATCTCCCCAATCACAACACGGTGATTTTTTAACTCATGGTGTCCCAGTGACGTGACCGTGAGGGAAACGGGTAGCGGTCAGGAGGGGGAAAACTGAATCTTTTGACGCAGAAATTCGGACTGTCCGCCCATCACTCGGTATGCGGACTCAAGGTACAAAGCCGTGCCTTTGTTTAGGAACAAATATGACGGAATTCCGTACACACCTGCGACAAGCTCGTTGGTCATTACTCATTGTCCTGACTTGACATTCCTGGGCTACCTGTCATGGCTAGGTCTCAGGGATGAATATGGAAACCCTTCATTATGCGTTAAAACATTTTGCTCACGGCCCAAGCCAAGCAGATCTGATGTCTAAGATAACCACACTGCCTAGTTTGCAAATTGCTAATACCACAACACAATACTCCAGGACTGTTAGTCCTTGAAACAGCAGAAACCTCTTCCGTTCAGTGTAGAAGGGATTCCTTTTGGCCTGTTCCTCAGAGAGTGGTTTGTGTTGCCCATGTCAGGTTGT